GGCTAACCGAGCAAGTTTAAGCGGCTTACATGAAGAACCGAAGTCCTTGTTTATAAACCAGCCCGGCACCTCGGCTATTTCGTAATTGCCCGACACCCAGAAAAAATCGTCGTCGTGCAGATCTTTATCCGGGGTGTCGGTTACAATTTTTTCCTTGCCCGGTGTTATCTTCAAGTAATAAGCTAGGCCGTCGCCGGTGTGGCCCATTGTGTATTGCCTCAATATCTCGGCTACACCTAAGTTGGTGCCTAGCCGATTGTTCAATTCATGAACGCCGTTGATAATTCTATAAGTATTGGTGGATACTTGTGTGGGTGCCAGCCCGGTGCGGCGGAGGAACTCGGTGATAAGTGGGTTGAGCGGGAAACGGAGGCCCCCTTCGACAATTGAGAGCACTTTAAAAAAAATTATTTCATTAATAAAAGTTAATATAGTTAGTATTACAAAAATTATTATTTTCATTTTTTCATTATAAATTAATTAGTATAAAATTATTTCATTTTTTCATTATAAATTATTATTTTCATTTTTTCATTATAAATTATTATTTTCACTTTTTCATCATAACTGAGGGGTTTGGCACTGTGGTAATTGGTTGCTGCTCGGTCCTGAGAGCCTCAGGAATGACAGTGGTCCCCTTGGACTCTGCAGGAAAATGATGGCAAGTGTAAGTGTGAGCGCGGTCACGCAAAAGGAGCTGGACTTTAGCTCGGTCATTAAGAGTGCCAAACCACCTCGGTTGTCTATTCTAACTAAGGAGCCCGGTCGCCCAAGCAGACCTGATGTTAGTCCGGTTGTGCGACCAAGTCCTTTTGTTATCTCGGTTTTTGCCGGGGTTGAGACAAACATGTTATTTGCTCGGTTAGATTGGTTTTTTGGATCAGAAGAAGACCAGGAGCCCAGTTCGCCCCAGTTCTTCAATGTTCTTCAGGAAGATGAAGAACACCAAGAACAGTGGGAGGTTTGGGACGGTTTCTATGGCCTATGCCCTAAGAGCTACGTTTTTGTGCCCTAATGTGTGTAATATTAAAGAAAATAGCAACAAAATAGGGGTAGAAGGACTCACCAGTGAAGGGCAGGATCTATTCCCTCGAACACGAAGAATGGCAGACGAGGCCAAGGCAAGGATGCTAGAGCTCTGGAGTCGAATAACAGAATGGCAAGAGGAGGAGGTGAAGTTTGGGAGGTCCTATATGTATAGACAAGAGAGAGGCCGCCCAAATTCAAAATTCTGGCAAAAACGACGGGTTGGCTGCTCGATGACCAATAGCAGCCCGCTACGTGTCCCCATTTATGGCGACGTCAGGAGTGAAGCGATGGGTTGAAGAGACGAAGAGCCAACCGAGCTACTTTCGAAGAAAAGGATGTCAGCCGAGGAGTATAACCGGGCAAGTTTGCAGACAGTTATGCTAACTAGCCCGGTCGAGCTTTGGCATCTTGAAGACCGGAGAAATGTTATCTCGGTCGAAGTGAGTAATCCCAGTCACGCTTTCGCGGACGGAATTAAGGGGCAATTGAGAGGGTGGTTTATGACCTGGAATTGGGCCGAGGCAACGACCGAGCAGATTGAGAGCCCAACCGTGCATGGGGCCGAGCTGATCGACTATCCGCCCGGAGATGGGCTGCCAGAACTTGGCCCGGGTAGGAATTGGGCCAAGTGTGTGCCGCCCCGGACCGTAAAGAAGCTCGGCAAGGCAGTGCTCGGTTGGACCGAGCTGCTTGATCAGGGGATGGGTGAAGCCAGACAAGCTGAGCGACCGGCGCCCGGAAAGGCGTGGTTAACCGAGGAAATCGTTTGATCGGCAGGAAGTCCGACCACAGGAGGTTCCCCGGGCTTGGCTTTGCCGAGATGCCGCCTAGCCCGGTCCTCCCTGGGCCTAGCCAGTGAAGCGCTTGGGTATGAAGCACAACACGGCCGTGGATAGAGCAGCCCGGCTGCCGAGCTCCAGGGAGAAGGCAGGCAGTTGTGATTAGGTGATGATCGGCAAGGTTTATGCTGACAGATGGGATAGCGGAGCCACGTGTCAGGAGATGACTGGGAGTGGATATGGGGCGCAGAGGGTATATAAGTATGTCTGCGCCCCCCATACGCGACAGATGAACACTTTGTAAGGAATTTCTTACATTCAAACACCTCTCTCTCTTTCTCTCTCTCTCTCTCTCTATTCTAAGGTGTGTGCTAATTTGATCGTCGGAAGGTTTTTCCGGCCACACACCGCCGGGTAGCTCACCATTGTTTGCGCGCAGGTGATCGGACATAAACGGAGTTTGGAAGAAAGGAGTACGGGCTTGCCGGAATATTTGCTCCCCGTACAGTGCAGTTGTGAGATTATGGATTTAAGCAGTAAAGTAGTGTTTGGTTGATAAGTTGTAAAATAATTTGTTACTGTGTAACTGTCTTTTTTGCCTTTATATAACATAAAAATGATAATTTTGTCATTTTTTTCATTTTTAATTTAAAAAAAATATTTCAATAATAAAAGTTAATATAATTAGTATTACAAAAATTATTATTTTTCATTTTTTTCATTATAAATTAATTAGTATAAAATTATTTCATTTTTTCATTATAAATTATTATTTTCATTTTTTCATTATAAATTATTATTTTCACTTTTTCATCATAAATCAATTTCATTATAAATTAATTAATGTCAATTAATGACTTATTTTCATTTTTTCATTATAAATTATTATTTTCATTTTTTCATTATAAATCAATTAGTATAAAATTATTTCATTACAAATTAATTAGTGTCAATTAATGGCTTATTTTCCTTTGTTCATTATAAATTATTATTTTCATTTTTTCGTTATAAATCAATTAGTATGAAATTATTTCATTATAAATTAATTAGTGGCAATTAATGGCTTTTGTAATCAATTAATACTAAAATTATTAATTAGTATTAATTAATACAAAATTTATTTTAGTAATGGCTAAAATGCTTAATTATTATTATTTTTTTTAATTAAAAAAATACTGAAAACCTCCAGAAAAAAAAACCCTAGCTCCGGCAATCACAGTGGTGACGTGGCGGCGTTAAGGTTTTGTTACACTGGCAACCCCTTCTTGTTCTTCTTCTCCTCTTCCTCCTCCTCCTTATTAAATTATTAAAAAATAGCTTTCAATAATTAAATTTATTTTAGATCATCTTAGTAGGTTTTTTTTTTTTTTTTTTTTTTTTTTTTTTTTTTTTTCATTGGAGATCTTAGTAGGTCTTAGTTGACAAATTATATAGCTCAATGATTGGAAAATGTTTAAGATTTACAAAATATTTTTACCAATCTGACTCATAATGATATGATATGATAGATGTCATCATTTGATTTGTCACATACTCAATTGTGTGGGGCTTATCTCCCCTACTACATCATTGTAGGTGAATTTAGAAATCCACATTATGGGTCTCTAGCACTTCTTCTTAATGATTATGTCACCTCTAACCATGTGTTAGGTATATATACACCAATATATGCACCTCTAAGTTATGTCAATTTTATTTTTTTTCTTTAATTATGATCTTATTTTAGTTATGACTTATGAGATTTTTGGTTATGCCTCACGTATTATTTGATTATGATTTTTTTTTTTTGGTTATGACTCAGAGAATATAAAATTACCTCATTTTCTTTTTCAATTATAAAGTGCATACGATATACTTTTTGAAAGGTGAATGTACCATAGACTTTTCCTTTCAATTTTGTGCGTACAAATTTTATTTGATATGAAGTGGCAAACTCATATGTAAATACGGTGAATTACATTTTGTCTCTTTATGTTGGACTACTTTTTTTTTACTTTGGCTCTTATAATTTATTTATTTTTATTTTAGCCCTTTAAGTTTTAAGTTTCAAGTTTTTCTCATTTTACTCCTAAAATTAATTTCTATTCAAAATTAGAGAAAAAATGTCACACTAGTTGTCACATTACATAAAAAAATATATTGTTATATTGATATTTGTCTTTTTAAATTGTATCAGAGAATTGAGTTATATAAAATAAAATACTTTCAAGTCAAGTGACTCTCAATGTGTTATTTTTTTTATCTAATTTTGGACATAAGCTAATTTTTTAAATAAATTAGAAAAAACTTGAAATATGAAATGTCAAAGTGAATTTTTTTTTTTTTTAAGGATCAATGTAAGAAAATAGGCAAATATGAAAGGAGGCAAAGTATAATTTATTCGTATAAAAAAATAACCACTTCCTAACCATAAACAGCTAAACATTTTGAAAGTGATTGATTTTCATATCACTATCTCATTTATATGTATTGACTTTATGTGCGGGTGATGGCTTCGTGGTTTACAAGTTAATTTAGAAGAAAAACAAGTAGGAGAGATGCCCCCGCTAGGCTGCTAAGAGGGAAGACTACTATGAGCGTTAACTTATTTATTTATTTTTTGTAATAAGTATATGTATATATATTAGTGGTAGGTATAAACACAAATTATTTATAACTTTATATTTATTTTTTGGGAATGATTTGAAGGAGATGTTAATTTTAAGGGTAAATTATAAATACATCTTTTGAGATTTGCTTAAAATATAGATTATTTTCTGTGGTCCTAGTCAGAAGTTTTCATTTAATAGAATTAACAGAAAAAAAAGTTACTACACTCCTATACAATAATAAAATTACCATAATTATTAATTAAAATATATTTATGATATTATTAAAAACTAATAATTGATTTCATGATTTATTAATTTAAGAGTTCATTTGTTATGTGATTAAAAACTTGAAAGAGCATATGTATTTGAGGGGGTCTAAATCAAAGAATAAAGATTGGGACCCCCTTTTGACCCCCTTTCTTTTTTGATTGGTCACTTTTTCTTTTCCTTTTTCATTTTTTTCTCCTCCTCCAATCACCACCCGCCACGTGTATGTGGGGAGTGGTGGGGGTTGAAATTTGAGGGGGTCTAAATCACTGTTGTTTTTCAAAACTATATGAAACAATCTATATTCTAAGAAAATTTTAAAGGGTCTCGAATGCTCTGGCTCAAATGCCCCGAAAGCGTGGGCTCACGCGTAGAACAGCTCTATCTCACTCTCTCGTCTCTCTTTTCTCAGTGTTAGCTCGCTCGCCTCTCTCCTCTTTTGTTAGTGTTAAATCGAAGCTCTCAAACTCTCTCTCTATTGCCCTGTTTGTCATCATCTCCGAATCATTCGAGTCTATCTCCTCCGAGACGACGCCAGAAAGTTGTTGTTCTGTCACCTCCTCTCTCCTCCCAAACGACACCGAAAAGTTGTATTGTGGAAAAGACTGTCATCGTGCTCAGTGGTCAGCGGGATACTCCTCTCACAAGTTCACGCTCACACCCGATTTCCCACTGTCGGATTACCGACCAATTTCTTTCGAATCTCAAACTCAAAACTCGGGTTTTGTATTTTGCCCCAATAATTTCAATTAACCTTTCTATCACAAAACTAGGTATTGATCATATAATTCTGTTTAGGATTTTCTCTGGTGAATTTGTGATTTTGCCATAATAAAATCATCGTGCTCAGTGAATTTGCCCCAATAATTCAATTTGCTGCCTGTAAATTTTTTTTTTGGTGGTTGTGAAATCAGGCCCAATGTTCCATTGTATTGATGCATTCCAATTGTTTGATGAAAGTCCCCATAGAGAAAGTATCCTGATTTTTTGTTATGAATTCAAAAGATTGATCTGTAAATTGTTTTTTTTTTTTTTGTGGTTGTTCTGGAAGCGATCCATCTATTAAAAACCAAATAAATTTTCTTTGAAACTATTTTTATATAGTTTTGGGATGATTTGTAACTTGACAAACCCAACAACTTGACAAACCAACTCCATTTGTTAAACATTTCCATCTGAGTTTGATATGTTGCCTTCTCTTGATGTTGAAGTATAGCAAAGTAACAACAATGAGTAATGACAAGAAGCCAAAGCTCAATCCTGTAAAAAAAAATTGAATTAATCCATAGACTAATCTCTATAGAAACTAAGTAATTTTGTGATTAGTAATACAAATTTAGTGACATCATGCTAATCTTTCTTGTTTTTTGTTTGACTATTATTTCCTTGAAAATGGAACACTTAATTTGTCTCAGTGTTGAAATTGAACAATCTTTAAATTTGTTTTTGGAAAAATTATTTACCATCTAAAAACTTGAAAATGATTGTAAACCATTTCAATGTTGTTTGATTGTTTGATAAGACATCAAACTTTCATGGACATTAAAACAAATGGTATTAATTAACATTGAAATGAAATATCCCTGTCGAGTATGAAAATCTATGTGGTTATTGGTTATGTTGGTGACCCTTAGAAAAATTGAATTGTTGTTTGATAAAAAATAGAACTTTCATGGACATTATACGTACCTAAAGAGAGCTTGATTATTGGAAATTGTGAGGCTTGCTTGATACACCCATGCCCATCTCTTCTGCCATCACCATAGTATCCATGTGTATATGGAAATTGTGAATGATGTATTTGAAATCAAGGAGGCAGGATGGGAATTGAAATGGGTTTTGTATTGTTTATGCAGATTAAAAATGGCTTCTTCATCTACTATTAACAGTAGCGTTAGATTAAAACCAAGAATGTGTGATTGTGGGAGAACAACTGCGATGTATATTGTACGAACCAATGAGAATGAAAATAAAGGGCTTCTTTTTTTTGTTTGCCCATTAAAATATGTAAATATGTGTTACGACATTAAACTTGTAGAATGTTGGAAATTATTTGTGTAATTTGAATAATTGATTGTCATCAATTGTAGAGTAACAAAGTAAACATTGCAATTACTTCAAGTTTGCAGATGATGATGATGGGGACGTTACCTCCACAATCTATTCCAATACTGGACCTCGTAAAGCTATTCGAGCAGAAGAATTGAATGATGTAAGGACAAGGCTTTTTGAGATGGAAAATGAAATTCGTGACCATGGTAAAAGGCTTCAAAGGATGGACAAGAATTTCAAGGCTATGATTTTTGTGATTGTAGTATGTATCATTTTGTACTTCATTATGTAAGACACTTGACTGTTAGTTTTTGGGAAATTTGATGAATGTAATTATGGATGTAATGGACATGTTGGATGTTAGGAATTTAATTGAATGTGGTGTTGTAGGAATTTCTTAAGGAATTTGGTCCTTCCCTAATTAAATGTGATGTGTTTGGCTAGTTATTGAATGATAGACTATTCATTTTATAGATATGAAGGTGTAGTTTCGCGCCTTTTTATGAGGATATTTCTTGAAAACAGGAAACATTTTTTTTCCTCCATGAGAGTTCAAAATGTGAATAGGCTTTGGCTTGCTATTTATCTGAGTGTTTTCACTTCTATGGTAACAAGTGAAAATGCCTCTTTTATGTTTCACTTTGGAGCCTTGTTTTAGAGTACTTTTGAAAAATGAATTTGTAATCAATCTATGTGGAATTTCACTTGCACACTTGCACAGCTTTATATGAAGTTTAAATTAATAACAACATTTAGCTATATTAATGTACAGAATGAACTGTGTTCAATAATATCAAGGGTCGAAGTTAGAGAAAATAATACAAGCATGCAACATGGAATTCTACCTATGATTCTTGGCACTATATTGTTTCTTGGCACTTACAGAAGTGAACAATTCAACTTGGCCATCAGCTAGTAAGAATTGCCTGAATATGTGCACAAGAATCTGGTACCCATCAGCTAGTAACAACAGTGAACAATTTAGCTTGTCAACAATCTGGCACCCAACTTAATTGAACAAGAGAACATCTAATTTGACATCACTTACAAAAAAAAAAAAAGAGAAGAAAGACCTACTCATACATCAAATCAAAAATAACACAAGAATCTCAAAATCTCCAAATAACAGAATTTGATTAACCCATTTTCATATATCCAAAACCCGTTTTCAGGTTACAAAAGCTATGAAGGTTTCTGATCCATTGTTTACAATCTAAAAAAAAAATACAAAGTAGTAATGCAAAACTAAAAAAAGAAATGGCACATTTGGATCAGCATCTACATTTAAGTGAACATAATTTGAAGCGATTGTCGAACTTTGACTGCTGATGTTGTGCACCATTCCTGATTGAGTATGAGATGTGCCTCCAATATTGTCCACCATTTGCATTAGACTAAACTATGCCTATTCAACATACAAGTAAACCTTACAAATATTGTCCACAAACATATATATAAATTAAAACAAGAACAAATATTTTACTTCAGACATTGAACACATACCGGTATATACATACTCTGTTGTGTGCCATCCATGCAAGGAAAATAGTAAGATAAAGTTTGCGTCGCCTTATGAACATTGTAACACAATTTCATTATTCATTTCAGACATTAAAATAAAATAAAAAACAACGCACAAAATATAAAGTCCTTTGTCACACACATACCGGGTCATACAAACTGTCTTGCATATCATTTGTACAAGGAAAATTTAATTTCCAAGGCTGACATTAAGGTACTGTACGTCCCTATAGTAAAACATATTGGTGAATAAGTGATCTTACAAACATTCAACAATTTCCATATCACACACAAGAAAAGAACTTACCTGTACTTTCGAAGGCTTTTTACTTTTTTCGTTCAGCCGATTCACTATTTCATCCACTTTGCTAACCTTCTGTTTGGTACATGGACGGCCTCTTCGGCGAGCAACCATAGGATTAAGCATCTTGCGAAACATGCTTGCTTTTGTAGTACTACGAGCAGACGGACTTTTCGATGAACTATGAGAATGTGGTACATTACTAGTAGAAGGTGGCACATTACTAATAGAAGGTGGCACATGACTCGTACTAGCCGATTGATCTTTTCTCACTCTATCCTTGATTTCTATCAACCCAAGATCAAGCACTTCGTGTTTACCATCATCATTAGCAGCAATTTCTATAATTTCATCCAGCATCTTGTATAGCGATTCCGGTTTGGACCCGTCAACCATTATATTCCGGACTCGGGTCTTGTGGTTTAATATTGTTATTGATGTCTTTTCCTCATTTTCCTCTTTGAATTTGACTTTTGGAATGTCTTGGGCGTGTTTAGAACTGGTTGGTCACTAGTTGGTCTTGAATGTTGTTTCCTAGAATTTTAGCCTTCTGCTCGAGCGAGCCTTCTTGCGCTCGAGCAGGGTTCGCAAACACTCAGTACTTTGCATGTCTGCAAAATACTAGAGGGGTGTTTTCCACACTCGAGCGGCATTTCCTATGCTTGAGCAGGTGGACGCTCGAGCGGCATTCTTTTGCACTCGAGCGGGTTGTTTGTTGTCTGCATAAAATACTGGATATGTGTATTCTACGCTCAAGCGGGCCACTTTTGCGCTCGAGTGGAACAAAACTTTGTGTCTGACGCTCAAGCGTCAACTTTTTCACTCGAGCGGACTGCGTATATATCAGATCGCGAAAAACACTTTTTACATCACTTTTTCAGATCTATTTGCTCCAAAACCCTAAAGTGAGACCCTCTCTCTCTCTAAAACTTACCTTCTCTCTAGATTTCTACCTAGATCTAGTGATCTATCCACCCTACTTCCTTGGATAAAAAGCTAGAGCACCTTGAAAGCTTCATTTTGACCCAATTGAAGTTGGATTTGGTCATCTTTGAGGTTCCATCCTTGCATGGCTCATCTTGTTTTCTTGAGGTAGGGATTTTTTGCACTTTGTTATGGTTTTTAACTTAGTTATTTGTGGTTGTGTAACAATGGTGGAATTTGAGGGTACTTTGAGCCAAACCTAGGGTTTGGGTGAAATGTAAAAGAGGGTGTAACAGCGCCCGCGTGGGCCTCGTTGCTACAGTTCGGACTCTCG